GTCACCTTATGCTCACTGCACAAACCACACCCCATTTCTGACTCCTCACTCATCACCTCTGTTCTACCGTGTGTGCCTATCAATTTGCCTGTTCTAGGTACTTCATGTAAGTGGAGTCATACATTCGTCCTTCTTTGTCTACCTTATTTTACTTAGACTAATGTTTTCAAAATCCACCAATGTTGTTGCATATATTACGATTTTATTACCTTCTATGGCTGAATAATATGCCTTTGTGTATGCCCACTGAATGCTTCTATTAACATTCATGTATAAATACCTGTTTGAGACTCTGGTTTGAGTTTTTTTTTTTTTTTTAAATATACTGTGTATCTAGGAGTGGAATTGCTTGGTCATATGGTAGTTCTAAGTTTAAATTTTTGAGGAACTGCCAATCTGTTTTTCACAGAAGCTGTAGCATTTTACATTCTCACCAGTAATAGACAAGGGTTTATATTATTTCTATAACCACACTAACAGTTGTTAGTTTGTTTTTGCTTTTTTTTTTTTTTTGAGACAGAGTCTCACTTTGTTGCTCTCAGTAGAGTGCTGTGTCATCATAGCTCAGAGCAACCTCAAATTCTTAGGCTCAAATGATTCTCTTTCCTCAGCCTCCCAATGAGCTGGGACTATAGGCATCCACTGCAATGCTTGGCTAGTTTTTTAGAGATGGGGTCTTGCTCTTACTCAGGCTGGTCTCAAACCTGTGATCTCAGGCAATCCACCTGCCTCAGCCTCCCAGAGTGCTAGGATTACAGGTGTGAGCCACTGCACTGAGCCTCACACCTGGTGTAAGGGCCAGACCAGCGCCATTTTGTTGTCTACTACATAAGCTCTGTTAAACTGCAGGGCCACTCCCTGCTGCTTCCCCCACCCCTGGTTGCACAGCCATTAAACCATTGAATTGAGTCACCTAAGGCAGACAGCTGCCATAATAGGCAATAAGTATCAGTTTCCTTGAACAGCTCCCATAATAGGCAAAAGGTTTCTACTTCCTTGAAATTCAGGTATTCTCCTTCCTAATTAGGCTATACCACCTCTAGCCCCGGTTAAGAAATCCCCCTCCCCTTACCTGTACCAATCCAAATCCTCCTTTACTAATGAAATCATCAACCACCAATG